TGCTGAACCATATGTTTCCGAACAAATGGATTGGCCAAGGTGGAGAAATCCATTGGCCTCCACGATCACCGGATTTAAACCCACTTGATTTTTTTTGATGGGGTTATTTTAAAGATTGTATATACGGAACAGAGATAGAAAATTTAGAAGATCTGGAAAACAAAATAACAAAGGCGTTTGAAAGCGTAACGCCTGAAATGTTAGCTGCAGTAAGACGAAAATTTGTACGCCGACTGCAGTGCTGCATTGAAAACGGAGGACGACAATTTGAAAACTGTCTCTAAGTTAGTTATTATAATTTTCAAAGTAATATAATAACAAATTTGAGATTATAAACGTGTCGTATTATTTCAGATCAGCATACTCAAGCAATTGTATATATTTTGTTTTTCGAGCTTTGTTCGCGATAAGCGTAGTGTAAATAAAAACAATTATTACTGAACAAATTGGACAATTCTTTAGTAGAAATTCCAAGTTAAATATAATCAACACAGAAATTCGAATCACCTATAAGAAAGAATTTATAAGTCTCATGTATATCAAGTTCTTTGAAAATTAATACGGATATGGTGCGTGAATCTTGAATAAATAAAGGATATGGATTTAATTTTATTATATTTTTATCAAGTATACTTAGGCTCGTATTTATCCGGCATAAAAACCCCAGTCATAAGTAGGGAAAAGCCATCTAAATATGAGCAAATACAATCGACAAATGTACAAAGAGTTATACTACTTATTTACAATTAATAGATTTCGGTAGGCTCGCTTTGCCTGTGAATGGCCATTCAAGTTAAAACTACTCGCTTACCACACGACGCTAATTGCACCTTGTACGAGAAGGAAGGTCGTCTCTTAGAGCAGCACAGTGCCAACGTCTTGGTCACGGGCACGGCCCGCACTGTACTAACCCTAAGAGTAGGGCCGAGTTGCTGCTGTTTGAGCTGCCCAGGGTCGGAGACACCTCAGAGGATATCACGTATATCCTCAGCTAGGAGCAACTAGGTAACTGAAAGAGAGTGCAACAAGGTGCCGAGAGAGAGAGATGCGAGGTGCAAGGATCGAGTTCTCGAGAACTACTGACTGCTTCCTCCTTCCTGAAGAAGGATCAGAGAATTTTCTCCAGCATTGGGCCTGTTCGTAGGGCCAATTAGAGATGCCAGGGTTATAGTGCCGAATTTCCCTCCAAACGTTTATCTGCGCGACAATTGCTGGACGACCATACCCTTTTTTTTTGCATCGCGCGCGCACCGTTGGAAATGCCGCACATGTTTATATTCTGGGTTTTCCCCATCCGCAAAAAAAAAAAAAAACATTAATAAGCAACAAAGAATCGCATCTCCAAATAAACTATCACTTTTACAACAACCAAAAAAAATGTTATAAATTATTACTCTCTACTTTCGTGCTACGCACATGGAGCGCAGATGCCGCGAACAATTACAAAATTATATCTAATTTATTATTATGACAAAAAATTATTAGTATTTATTAATTATAAATAAACAAATGAAATCAAATTGTAAAAAAAATCCTCAAAAAAGTCCTCGGAAATGTCCTCGAAAAAGTCCTCAAATTAGTCCTCAAAAAAGTCCTCAAAATAGTCGTTAGAAAAGTCCTCAAAAAAGTCCTCAAATTAGTCCTCAAAAAAGTCCTCGAAAAAGTCCTCAAATTAGTCCTCAAAAAAGTCCTCGAAACAAAATTTTCAATAAAGTCCTCAAAAAATGTCCTCCATAAAGTCATGGAAAAAGTCCTCAAAAAATTTCTCCAAAAAGTCCTCAATAAAGTTCTCAGAAAAGTCTACGAATTAGCCTTTCAAAAAGTTCTCAGAAAAGTCCTTAAAACAGTCCTCAAAAAAGTCTTCAAAAAAGTCCTTTTTTTTCTTATTCGACTTTAAAAGAAAAAGAACAACTAATGCAGGTGGATTAGGTTTTCGGCAGGGACTGAGAAAAATAATTTATATTTTCACCGAACGAATAAAGAGATTGACTCAAAAATGTTCTTAAAACTCCAACCGATTATAGTTTGTTAACCCTTAAACACCCAAAACGCCACTACCGGTACACTGCTCTTCGACGGCCAATAACTAATACTATTCGTAACTAGAAAAAATTGAGATACATACATTTTTATTGCTAAAGATCTCCTCTATCCGATAGTGTGAATAAAATTTCCCCCAAAAATGATTATTTATTGAAAAATGCAGTTTAAACAAAAAAAAACGTGATTTTTTGTGCGTATTTTTTTTTTTGTGATCGCTTTTTGAAAGGTTTCCCAGTCTGCAGAATACCTGGGACCTCACTAACCGGTGGAGTAAATGTCTAAACTTTAAGAATCCATGATTCAAAAATCGATTTTTCTTTTTCCTATTTCCAAAATGGCCCCTTAACGGCAATTTTTTTTCAAAATATTCATAAATTTTTTTGCTAAATTGGGTGCACTTTTCGAAAAAACTCTCAAGAGTAAAAAGTTCTTAGAATCAGCTGAAAAATACGTCTGAATTTTTTCAAAGAATTTATAGCAAATTTTTTAATTTTGCATACAGGGTGTCCCATTTTAATTTACCACCCCCTAATACAGGTTAATAATTTGCTCTGAGAAAAAAATGTTTCAAATAAAATTTGTTGGGTTCGAAGGGGGGCATCTTTTGGCTATTTCAGCTGCGACCTTGAACATCACCTTCAAGGTCATTTGAAAGTCAAGACCAAATTTTCATATGAAATGTGCATATTTTATGGCGGATTCGGATTCTACTAAAAAAGAGAAACACTTTTTGTCTGAATCAATTTTTGATCATCAATAGGTAGATAGCTCTCCCTTTAACTGAAAAGAGAATTTGTTCTAGAAATAAGATGTTTTAGATGAATGTTACTAGCTTCAAACAAAGACAGAGGTATCCTTTGGATCACTTAAGGCAAGACCTTCACGTCCAACCACTTAAGGCAAGACCCCTTCGTTCAGCTAGTCACAGAAATTTCAATGTCTCAAGTGCTCTATCAATTGCCCATTTTGTTGAATGCACATTTGTATTCTCTGCTGAAAACTTCTTTGGACATCTATTAATGTTTGTGGGGTTAACGCCTGGAATGCTGCAACAATTCTCTCCATCATATTTTGTGCCGTCGTCGGGGCTTCCGCGTAAACTCTCTGCTTCACGGCCCCCCACAGAAAGAAGTCCAATGGGATCAAATCTGGCGATCGCGCAGGGAATTCACAGATTGGACTACCAATTCCAATCCAACTATTTGGGTATGTCGCGTTCAGAAATCTCCTGACAAGTAGTCGACGATGAGCGGGAGCACCATCTTGCTGGAATCACATGTCTCACCTTATTTCTAGCGGAATGTTTTCTAGAAGAGGTGGAATTTGGTTCTCGAGAATATCTAAATAAAGTTCGCCGTTTAAATTACGGTCATAAAAAATTGGACCCACAACGTATTCCCCAACTATGCCCACCCAAACATTAATTGACCACCGTCTTTGTGTACGGGGATCTCGCTGCCAATGTTGATTTTCTTCTGCATAATAATGCGCGTTATAAAGATTAACTCCTCCCATATTGTCGAACTTTGCCTCGTCTGTAAAGAGAGTCCGATCAAAGAAAAATGGATCTATGCACATTCGTGTTTCCGCCCATTGACAGAATCTAAGTCGCCTGGCAGGATCACCAGGCTCAATGGCATGTGTAAGGTGCAAGTGATATGGATGAAATCTAAAATGACGCAATACACGGGAAACTGTTGATCTGAGTACTCCATGCATTTGCTGAATTTGTCGCGTCGAAATATGAGGATCCTCAGCAATTACAGCACGAACCCCAAGCGCAATATGCTCTCTTGGGCCCGTCCGTCGCCTCTTCCTTCTTAAGTTACCTCCTTGAGCTCTTATCGTTTGAAGTTTAATATTCCTCCTAGTAGGATGACGAGCGTCCGGATACCTTTCAGCGTACAGCCTCGCTGCAGCCTTGTAATCGTGACATTCTCCCAGAATCTTGATCATGTTGACTATCTCTACTGGCGTGTAGTCAGCCATTATCTGTTGTAGGTAGATTTTTTAGGGAATATTTAATCTTAAATTAATAATTTAATTTTTATTTAATCTGAAATTCAGAAAGTCAATGAAAACCCAATGATGAGAAGCTTTGAGGAGCTGTAAGAATTTACAAGCCTTACCAATAGAACGATAACGAAGCTAAAAAATGTCTTTTAGCGAGAAATAAAGCATTTACGAGAAAAATATTCTAATTCTAATATTCTAATTCCTCGGATAAAATGTAATGGTTACCTGTAAATAAACATTTGACCTTCAAAAAATCTTGATGACCTTCAACTGACATTGATGGCTCTTAAGCAAGTTCGTGGTGAAGGTCACTACAGTATGTCCCTCATTGAATCTAGTAACATTCATCAAAATCATTCTTAACTGTGGGAAAAATTCTAACCTCAGTTTAAGGTAGAGATATCTAGTGATTTTTTCTACTTTTTTAAAGCCGTTTACAACAAAAATTTGGGATTTTTTCAAAAAATGATTCATACAAAAAGTGTTTTTCTTTTTTAGTAGAATCCGAATCCGCCATAAAATATGCACATTTCATATGAAAATTTGGTCTTGACTTTCAAATGACCTTGAAGGTCATGTTCAAGGTCGCAGCTGAAATAGCCAAAAGATGCCCCCCTTCGAACCCAACAAATTTTATTTGAAACATTTTTTTCTCAGAGCAAATTATTAACCTGTATTAGGGGGTGGTAAATTAAAATGGGACACCCTGTATAACTAATTTTTGCAAAATTTAAAAAATTGCACAAAACGCTTCGGGAAAATTCGGGCGTGTTTCTTGGCTGATTCTGAGAACTTTTTACTCTTGAGAGTTTTTTCGGAAAGTTCATCGTTTTTTAGTAAAAAATTCCCAATGATTCAATAACCTTTATCTCACTCTGACATCCACATCACACCTTCACCGGATTTTCATCCTAAAATTTTTCGAACACATCGAAAAAAAAATGCCTAAGCGCAGGGCCACAGAAATTTCAACAAATGTTGAATCCGAATCGGATTCAGATGAAAATGATGAATGTACCATCATACCAAATCCTGATGACTCTGGCTCTGATGGAGACTCCTCGTCGGATGACGAGAATGAGGCCTTGGAATATTCCATACCAAATGTTTCATATAGATCTACTTTTCATAATTACTCAGAATCTGAAAAACAATTGGAACCAGATCACGTTTTTTCTTGGAAGGCCGGGGAAAAAGTTCGCTCTGGTAATGTAGATGATCAAATCTTTCTGACAGATGCAACAAGGAAAAAAATATCATCTATGACACCTGTGGAAATATTCGAAATGTTTTTCTCCAGAGAAATAAAAGACTATATCATTGAAGCTAGCCGAGAAAATGGCTTAGAAATATCCATACAAGAACTCAACACTTTTATCGGTATATTAGTGCTGTCATCATACAATATCCGAAGTAATCAATCAGAGTATTGGGAAACTGACCCTCTTGTAAAATGTTCTCCTGTAGCTTCAGCCATGAGCCGTAATAGATTTTGTGAAATCAAATCACAAATAAAATTTTCAAAAACTCAAGATAGAAATGATAAAGATAAGGCATGGAGAGTGCGTCAATTATTAAATTTATTCAGGAAAAACATTCAACAATTTGGTTTTTTCTCAACAGTTCTTTCAGTTGATGAAATGATGGTTCGATTTTTTGGTCGTACCAGCCTAAAACAGTATCTGCCTTGTAAACCTGATAGATACGGGATAAAGCTCTGGGGTTTATGTGCAGCCAATGGATATCTTTTCAATGTAGATGTTTATTGTGGCAAAAATGATACAAGTATTGGAATAAAGTTAATGGCATGTGCACTTGGCTCGAGAGTTGTCGTGCAACTGATCAATCCCCTTCTGAATGGCCTGTCAATAAGAAAGTTATCTGATTATCATATCTACTTTGATAATTTTTTTACCAGCCCAGACTTACTCATTCATCTGAATAAATATGGTTTACGATCAACAGGAACTGTTCGTAAGGATAGAGTGAAAGAAAAACATGAATTTGAAAAAAAAGATCCGCGAGGATCGTACAAAGTAAGTCATGATAGCAACAGTGGTATGAATTTTATCAGTGTCATAGACTCAAAACAAGTCTCTATTCTTTCCACAGCTGTTGGTGTCACTCCCATAACACCCGTGAAAAGATTTTCACGAACTGCTCAAGAGAGAGTAGAACTAGGATTTCCTCATGCTTTTTCTTTGTACAACAAATACATGGGAGGGGTAGATTTACATGATTTCCGTTGTAAAAAAGCTTCTCCATCTATCAGTTCGAAGAAATAGACTTTTAAAATTTTTTCAAGAATAATAGAATCATCAATCACAAATGCTACAGTAATTTGGAAAATTTGCAATAAGAGTACTAAAAATAAATTGAAAACAAAAGATTTTTGTAGAGACATTAGCAGGAAATATTTGTTGCAATCGAAATTAGGCGATTAAAAACTCATAGATTCGAGTCAAGAACAAGATTATTATGTAATTTTGAAAAATGTCGCCAAAGGACTACAAGATTTTGCATTGATTGCGATATGTATTATTGCTTGCGTTGTTTCTCTCAATCACACTCTGAAACAGCAGGATCAAATTGATTTCAATTGACGAATACTTGAAATTTTCAAAAATCTCTAAAAAAAATATTAAAAAAAAATTTTAAAAATATAAAAATAATAAAAAAACAAAAAAAAAGAAACTATCGAGATTCGTCGACCTCCACGTTGGTGATAGTTGGGCAACGTAAACTCTGTTTGCGGCAGACAGACGATAGATATACATATGCACATCAATCATCTTCAACACCTTTAGATGATACCAGAAACCGCGGGAATTTTTTGCTAAATTGGGTGCACTTTTCGAAAAAACACTCAAGAGTAAAAATTTCTTAGAATCAGCCAAGAAATACGCCTGAATTTTTCCGGAGCGTTTCGTGCAATTTTTTGAATTTTGCGAAAATTAGTTATATGCAAAATTAAAAAATTTGCTATAAATTCTTTGAAAAAATTCAGACGTATTTTTCAGTTGATTCTAAGAACTTTTTACTCTTGAGAGTTTTTTCGAAAAGTACACCTAATTTAGCAAAGAAATTTATGAATATTTTGAAAAAAAATTGCCGTTAAGGGGCCATTTTGGAAATAGGAAAACGAAAATTCGATTTTTGAATCATGGATTCTTAAAGTTTAGACATTTACTCCACCGGTTAGTGAGGTCCCAGGTATACTGCAGACTGGGAAACCTTTCAAAAAGCGATCACAAAAAAAAAATACGCACGAAAAATCACGTTTTTTTTTGTTTAAACTGCATTTTGCAATAAATAATCATTTTTGGGGGAAATTTTATTCACACTATCGAATAGAGGAGATCTTTAGCAATAAAAATGTATGTATCTCAATTTTTTCTAGTTACGAATAGTATTAGTTATTGGCCGTCGAAGAGCAGTGTACCGGTAGTGGCGTTTTGGGTGTTTAAGGGTTAAACAGTCATTAATTAAACGATAATTATATCAATGATGTTATAAAAGCTGAACAATTTTCAATTAAGCGATCTAAGATTTACATCATGCTTGAAAGAATAATTTTTTACTGTTTGGTTAGTATAGTGAAGTTCAGACTTTCTAGACGACTGAAAGACCCTTCGGAGATTCTCTTGATGACTAAGAATACCTCTAGAACCCTTTCGATAACTGAAAAAACCTTCGGAGTATCACTCGACAACTGGGGATACCACCGGAGTATTTTTCTAATTTTCAGACGGTTGTTAAGACCTTCGGAGCCTTCCTCGACAACGAAAAGATTTCCGGAGTATCTCTCTAGGACACAAAAGGCCTCCGGACTATTTCTCAAGGTCTGAAAAAATCTTTGGGGTATTTTTAAAATTTCCTGACGGCTGTTAATACGTACGGAGCCTTTCTCGATAGCGAAAAGTATTCTTCGAAGACTGATAATACCTCCGAAATATCTCTCGACGACTAAGAATATCTCCGCAGTATTTTTCGAGGACTGAAAAGCCCTGTGGAACTATTTCTCGAATCTTTAGACGATTGAGTAAACCTCTGGGGCCCGTATCGACAACTGGGGATACCTCCGGAGTATTTTTCGAACCTCCCCAGGGGTTTAAAGACCTATGAAGCCTTTCTCGACAACGAAAGATCTAGCAATAATGAAAATATATATTTAAAACATTGAGCAATAAGTTTAATTTATGATCATCGAAAATGTCTTTAAGGCAATGCTTCTAGCATTTAAAAAAAGCGTCTTTCAAAATATTGCAACTTGCATCTTTCAATATAATTCCGAGTACTTATCGATCATCATTTAATTATGTTTTGCAACTATAAATAGTAATGAAGAAGTTCAACTTGCTATAGTCTGGTTATGCAGGAGGACGTCTTCGACGAATGTGACGAGGTATTTTCAGTCGTCGAAAGGTTCAAGAAATACTGCAGCGGTTTTTTCAGTCATCGAGAGGTACTCTGGAGGTATTTTCTGTCGTCGAGACAGGCTCCAGAGGTATTCTCAGTCGTCGAGAAATACTCTAGGGTATAAAAGAACACTTGCATTAGTTGTTCTTTCTCTTTTAAAGTCGAATTTATATTTAAGATGAAAAGTGTGAGGAGGACGGAGAAAAAAAAGTGAGTAATTTCTTTTCCTCTAATTAGACAATTTAATTAGGGCGTGAGGGCCTGAGGAAGGGGCTTCTTGCCCTTGCCTATAACAGTCGAGTTTTTTCATAATGCAGGCAGATCAGTTATTTTGGGCGTTGAAGGGCCGAGGAAGGGGCTTTAAGTCCTTGCTTATAAAAGAGATGAATTAAGTTTTCGGATTAATAAGCAGTACAATTCAATTCAATTTGGTTATTAGTGCAGTTGTAGTTGCAGTTTAGTTCGGTTAGTGAGTCAGTTGTACTTTTCATCAAGGGTCTTAGAGCAAGAACAGCCTAGGCCATATTTCAAACCATTCCAATTATATCCTTGTTGGGTCCTTTCTTATTTTCATACAATTTTGATGATTTCTACAATAAGTGAGATAAATATGAATGTAAAAATATTTAATTATTGAACCAGTAATTGTTTAGGGCAATGACTTGGAGTAAATTTTATACGCAGTAAACAGGCTAATACAGCAAATCGAATAGTCATTTGAGTCATAAGTTGCAAATATTTTTAATAAATTCATAATAAAATACTTTATTTTTGCAATTATAGAAAATTTATCTGAAGACAAAGACCATTTGGTTCATAAAAACTATGTACTGCTGAAAATGAATTTGAGATTAAAAGATGAAATATAGGAAGGTAAATTCAATTTTTTTCGTTTGTATTAGCTTATAATAATTTATTTAAAATTATAAACACGTTTATTGATATTGAATAAAATAATGATAGAATGTTTCAAATTTTCTAATTCGAGAACTCATTCGAGGACTTTTTCGAGGACTTTTTTGTGGACTTTTCTGAGGACTTTTTCGAGGACTTTTTCGAGGACTTTTTCGAGGACTAATTTGTGGACTTTATTGAGGAATAATTTGAAGACTTTTTTGAGGACTTTTTCGAGGACTTTTTTGAGGACTTTATTGAGGAATAATTTGAGGACTTTTTCGAGGATAATTTGAGGACTTTTTTGAGGACTAATTTGAGGACTTTTTTGAGTATTTTTTGAGTATTTTTTGAGGGCTTTATTTACGATTTTATTGACAACTTTATTGTCGACTTTTTTGAGGACTTATTTCAAGATTTATTTGAGGACTAATTCGAGAACTTTTTAGAGAATTTTTTTGAGGATTTTTCCGCGGACTTTATTGAGAACTTTTGGGTTGATTTTGTTGGTGACTGTTTTGAAAATATTACTAGGATTAATTACAGCATTAATAAATTATCCAAATGCTGTAGAGTTTTTCTTATAATAAAACAAGAACATAATTTTACTAATTTAATTTTTACATCTTTTTAATTCTAACGATATCGCAAGTTATTGCAAAATTTAGTGAGCAGGATCCTGTATCTATTTCTTGAAATTTTCTGGTCCTCTTCGACTACGCCATTTACAAACTCTAGAAGAATATAACATTTTCAAATTTCATTTCGGATTTCATTTAATTGAATACAATAAATTATGATAAGTGGTATGAGTGCTTACCAAGAACTCCTTCGAATATCGACGTTGGGATTGGTTCACTATCTCCTTTGCCAGTTGGCGTCATCTTGATCAAATATTCTCGTTTTATCAAGGATATCATTAGTTTGCTGGCCATACGGTGGCTATTTTTTATAAACTTTGCCTTAATTTCTTCAATTTCCACCTTCGAAACGTAAATTTCTAGGCTTTGCGTTAATCGTATCTGAATATAGTAATAGAAATATAGTAATTTTCAGTGTAATAGGACTATAATCGTTTATGATTGGGTGAGTTTTTGTTTAAGTGTATGCGTATGTGCTTATGTCTTTGTTTTAGTGTATGCGTATATGTATATTCATACATACGTTGCCAGCCTTTGGTTCGCAACTCGCAAACTCTCGTCTCAAAATGCGATTCAAACATCCATTTTCATCATAATATTCTGATCCTTTCATATTCTTTCTTTCTTTCACGTCTTCATTTCTATTTTTGTCTCCTTTTTTCCCTTTCATTCCTACCCTTCCTTCTCTTTTTTCTTCACTATCTTCTTCCTCATCTTTTCCCTTTTTTCTTTTTTCCATAGATTCTCCTTTCTCTATTTTATCTCCCATTACTCCTTCTTCCCCTCCATTTCCTTGGCTTTCTCCTCCTTCCATGTTTTCTCTTTGTTCTTCGATTCCTTCTCCGTCTACTTCTACTTTCATCTCTTCTTTCAGTTCTTCTCCTTCGCTCTTCTTGTTTATCTCTTCTTTTTTTCCTTTTCTTTTTCCTACTTTACACCAAAAATCGAATTATTTAATTATATAAATTTAACTACATGTTTACGAACCTTGGTAACTGGATTGTGTAGTCCCATCTGTAAATACCTCGAGACTCTCCAGATATTTCTTATTATCTATGTAAAAAATATAATGTTAGCATTTATTTAATCAAATAATATTAATGTACTGAACTGGTACTTTCGAAATAACAACTGCATTTTTTTCGGCGCCATTAATACATAAAAATATTTACTCCGCCCCCGAACTAGCACGTTCAGTTATTAGAAGAAATAATATTCATTTTGTAACGGGGAAAGTCACTTTAGAGCGTTTTCTATCATTTCACCATTGCTTTGCACGGGAAGGATAGACATTGGTACGATTTATATTTTCTTTTCAACTCATACGAACA